CGATGAACGCTTCACTCGCCACAAGGGCCCCTGGCAGACGGCCTGCGTTGCCGTGCACCGGGGTCCCACTGCGAGAGACAACTGTTCGTGCCAAATGCCACCAGAAAAAGACTCTCCCGATTTTCTCGTGCCGCCAGGGTTCATCGCCAGCGCTACTGATCTAACCATGATGATGATAGTGGTGATCAACACTTGCGAACACAACGCTGCCTACTGGTCAGTAGTTGCGAGCTTTAAATGCAGCCTATGTGCGAGACAGGTGTGCCATGTGGCGCAAACAACTGTAGAGGGGGTGTTAGCACCTCCACATATTCAAGGAGTTCGCAGCGACTTTGCACAATATGCACACAAAAGAGGAATACTGCACATGCGGTGGTACGTACGCAACGCGACAAGGGAAGTGACGAAGCGCTCGCGAGAGGATGGCCACCTGCATGGGAAACAGCAAATAGTGCGAGCTGTGGTTGGCTGATCAAGATTCGGGAAACAGCAACAAAATTAAAAGAAGCGGCGAAAGGAGGAGGACGTCAGCTCCTTCGTTAGCCAATATGTATGTGGAGAAAGCATGAGAGAGAGAAAAAAAAAAGAAAAAAGCTGTTGTGCAAGACTGTGCAGTCCGAGCCCTCTCTCCCATACCTTTCTTCGAGTGGGTTTTCGCAGAGAGGGGGTGGTGTGAAAAAGTCGCCGGGCACTGCGAGTGCCAAAGCGCACCTTCCAGCTCGTGCGGCATTTGATATATTCGAAGGCAGGTAAAAACACCCTTCTATATAAATGTGCAAATTTCTATACTTTTACAAAAGAAATTCAAGGGGATAATGAGTTCGATATACCCGAAAATTTGATATATGTGGGTTCGATATATCGGTGTTCAACTACATCGTTGGGCCAATAAAAGAAATAGAGCCAGCTCGGTCGACATGCGAAAAGCTGTCCGGTCCACATATTTTCACGTGGCATCAAAGTACACTAATCAATCTCACAGTCTTTGCTCAATGGACGCTGAATCTTGGTGTAAATTCAACAAACCCAAGTTTAATGGTGAATCATTTGTTCATAAAGAAGACCTTCCAGCATCTAATAATAATAATAATGCTGCTAAGCCAAATTAACTGGAACTAGCTCATCTAGAATTACTTGCTAAATGCCTCCATTGGAAAACTGAAAAGCATAAGCAGTTGTTGGATTGTCGTGTGGGAGCACAATCCAAAAGAAAAAAATACGTTTTCCTCAGGCACGAAACACTGTAATTGTGCACTTTTGATGATGTGTACTCTTTTAATGATGGCAATATAGCCCCGGCACTGCACAGTGCAGGGCCCCTTGAACTGCGTCGAGAGTACTGCGCTGACACGGCTGCATAGCAGGCGACAAATGAGGCTCGCCAGGCAAGAGCTTTCAACACAACAAGAAAAAAATGATATTCTATTTAAAAGGTCTGTCAAGTTGTTATCTTGTTGTATTTTTGAAATAATTCTGATCTTCAACTTTAGGTGTGATTATCTTAAAATGTGCTTATTTTGTTTTTGTTCTTTTTTTCTAAGCAACCACAATATCTAGAATCAGAGATTTTGGCCAGTATTTACCTAGATAATGTAAAAGAAAATACGTTGAACCAGGATTATTGTTTTGTGAAGTGCTCTTTTGCAACACATCTAATAGGTATTATTGAGTGATAATTAAACTGAATAAATAATTTGCAAAAAATGATTCTTAAAATTTTCAGTGCTGAATTAGCTTCAGTAAAAAAAACGGCTCATGATCACAATGATAGTAAAATGATTACTCTAGATCTTATGGTTATGGAGAAAAAGTACTTAAACTTTGCCTAAAATACATGGCAAGTATAGGGCTTACCCTGTTCCCTTAGGCTATTGAGGGTGTTATGGAAAATTCTATGAAAAGAACTGAATACCTTAACCATGTAGCCTTCCTGTAAAAAGCTTTGTATGGGCACAATTGTACAATAGTAGTCGTATTTGAGGACATTCAGATTTTTAAAAATGTTCCAAAAACCAGGGGAGTTCATCTTCATCTTTCTTTGTTCACTGGCTTTACTTAACAGTAAAGACAAAACATAAACGTTTTACCACCTATATGAGTGGCATCAGTACACAAATGGCATCATACATTTTTGTGCACCTTGCCCTTCTACGTAAAATGTACTTTCGCTGTGTAGATGACACTTTTGTCATTGTAGAAAAGAAAAATCTACAAGATATACACGTGGCGCTGAATAACAATCATCCAGCCATCTAATTAACTTGTGAAATGAAGGATCATGGCACTTTAGTCTTTCTAGATGTCCTCGTACATTGTAGCGTGGGCGGTTTATTGGAAACAGCCGTATACCACAAATCTTGCGGCACTATGCAGAGTTCTGACTCTCATCACCATGTGGAACACAAGTATGCGGTTGTTCGCACATTTCTGTAATGCTGCGACACGCTGTCGTTGATGCAGATCCTGAGGAAGCGTGAAGAAACAAATGTTGCCTGTATCTTAAATGAACGGAGCAACTCTCTGCAGTTTGTTGACAATGCACGACCCCACGTGCAAAAGTGTCACGAGAGTAGGACAAATGAGGCAACATCCTTTGTGCGCATCTCGTATGTTTGCAGCGTGTCAGAAGTAGTTCGTAGGGCCTTTTGGCCTTTGGGTGTTCGTAATGTTTTCCTGGCAAAGGTGTTTTCAAAACCAAAGGACCACAACCCCCAGACAAACAAAGCGAAGTTATCGTATTTACTGGCGTTATGAACGCACCTTTTTTGTAAAAGTTGATGCCAATTTTGAGGGAGGGTTCACTACGCAAGAGAAAAAAGTAACAGGAGTTATAACAGTGAAAATATCTCTTGGCCCGCGAAATGTGTGGTGGATAGTTTCTGTAGCCTGAAGCTCTTCTTGCTTTCCTTCCATAAAAAACACGCATGTCCACGGTCCACGTGGTTGGTATGCTCAACCAATTTCCTAGTTTAAAACCAGCCGTGTAGGTAGCGTACCAGCCAAACGCACCCTGCAGAGCAGGTGCCCCCCAACTAAGTTTCCTGTGACAAACCTGACAACAAAAATGCAATATCAGATGGCGGCGCACAAACTTTGCGGGTGCACGACGCGCTGTCGGTGCGGTTGCGCTTTGCATGGCCTCCAAGACGGCGGACAAGTGGCGTTTTTTTTTATGTCATGCGCTTTGTTTTTTGCTTTTTCTTGCCGCTTTGCTTTTGTGGCACCAGAAGCAAAGAGGTTTCTCCTGTATTCGACAGATGGCGCTCTGCCGCAAAAGGTGTAGTTCTCTACTGTTTGAGGCCAGGACGGGAGTATTGCGAACGAAGACATATCAGGCCAAATACGAAGAGGTAGACACTGTATTCAGTGCATGCGGAGAGGAGGAGGAAACTGCCAAACGCTTGATAATGTTCTGTAAAGGGCTTCACCTTATAGTTCAGGATGATGGCGCAGAGTTTTTCAAAGCGCTGGGGTTCAGGGACAGGGAGGGCAAAATAGACCTAAAGCGGGTAGAATTAACTAGAAGGAGATCATCTGATTGGTGGCTAAAGTCAAGACACGAGTGAAAATTAAACCCTTCACTGCAAAGTACGAGTCCTCAACTTCAATATTAAAAGGAAAAAAAAAGATAAATTTTGTTGTTGGTTCACTAAGTATTACGGCTAAATGGCGTCAGACGCTGCCTGATCTAGAAGTACAGCCACATCAATCCATCCATGCACTCATCGTGACTTTTAAATTTTTATTGACGTCGTCTGAGCTTGCGCTGCTCGCAACTGCTTAGCATGGCTGTTAAAATATGTTTTGACTTTCATTGCGTCATTATTTTAAGATATAATGGCTTAATTTAACATTCTTTCGATTCTTAACGGCACTGGTTATTATACCAAAATGAAATGAACTTTAAAAAGTTTTTTTTTTTTCATGGACCAAGTTATGGGAGGGGTTTATTATGCGAGTGGGGTCATTACGCGAGTAAATACGGTATATACAAGGTCGACTGCAAGGACTGTTGTGTTACCTACATCGGCTAGACGGGGCCACGATGTTGTACCCGCCTCAAGGAACATGCAAGGAGCATCACGAGCCACACATGCAACACGAGCTAAAATAAAATCAATTGACCACTCCCTGCCGAAACGACAAGTGTTTGATCTCAGTAATGCATTGACGCTGGCGTGATAGCAACGATGGGGCCCAAGAAAATTTGTGAAATCAGGGTTCATTCATTGTAATCAATCTGCTTGCAATAATAATCAAGGCCTTCTGCCGGATATTTCATTCATTTTTCGGGGTTTAACGTCCTAAAACCACCATACGAATATGAGAGACGCCGTAGTGGAGGGCTCCGGAAATTTCGACCACCTGGGGTTCTTTAACGTGCGCCCAAATCTGAGCACACGGGCCTACAACATTTCCGCCTCCATCGGAAATGCAGCCGCCGCAGCCGGGAATCGAACTTGCGACCTGCAGGTCAGCAGCCGAGTATCTTAGCCACTAGACCACCGCGGCGGGGCTCTGCCGGATATTTACGGCAAGATATAAGTGTGATGTATTTTCTCGTCTGATGCCATTTGTGTACTGACAATGCCACCGGTATAGTTGGTGCAACGTCTTTTTTTTTTTTTCGGTGAGTAAAGTGAGTGATAAAAAAGATTTTTGTAAATTCAGAGTCAATTATTCGCAAATGGTTTGCATGCAAAACACAATGCATTGCTTGGCTAGTCATGTGACAAACAGAGGATGTTCTTAGTTTACATGCACGTGTCTGACAGTATTGTATGCTGCCATGTTTGTTGTAACCCTCCTGCACTGCGAATGGTTTCTGTTGTGTTTATGCCTGTGGGCTGGGTTAAGATTCTGAGGCATGGCAAATGTTGATTTCTTGATGATGACACAATCTGGCTGCACTGTGTTGATTTCTTGATGATGACACAATCTGGCTGCACTGTGTTTCAAGCGCTGAGTGATGCATGTGTTGTGTGTGTGTGTCCCCCTAGGGTGCCCCTGAAGGCGTACGAAGCAAACAATGCACGTGATGCCTTGGCCAAGGCTGTCTACTCTAAGCTGTTTGACTTGATTGTGCGGCGCATTAACCAGAGCATTCCATTCAGCTCATCATCCCACTACATTGGTGTGCTTGACATTGCTGGATTCGGTAGGCATCATCATTGTTTTGTTTTACTTATTATTTCTTACCCTTGGTTTTTTTTTTTTATGAAGAACACAGTGTAGGATACATCCTTTTTAGACGAGGACACTTGCTAGTTGCAATCGACCTGATGTCAATGCGCTTGTCACGCTTTTCAGTTTAGCAAAGGCGGCGGGTAGCTATTGACACCGGCATTGCCACTGAACACACCAGTTTCTCTAGCAATTGCAACTGAGAATCAAAGTTTGACAGCAACTCATCTGCCTGGGGAAATGCATAGCGTAAATGTGGAAGGATACACTGACCAAAAAGAACACAAAGTTTACTTGACATTTCGGCGCCTCAAATAAGAGCCCTGTTCTGATTCTCAAGATTCTGAACAAAGCTTCTATATGGGGTTTTGAAAGTTCAAGGAAACTTGGTGTTTTTTTTTGGTCGGTGTATCCTTTTGCGTTAACGCTAAGCAATAGTGCCTAAAACTTTTTTTTGCCTCAAAGTTGTATTGATAGATATTTCTTGGTGTCACAAGGCCGAGCGTGCACCATTAATACTTTATGCGGTCAAACCAGCCTGGCCAGCGAGCCAAGAAGTGTCCTCAGCTTGAAAGTGCGAATCTTACACCGTGTACACTAAAGAGAACAACCTTGATAAAGAGTTGGTACTGCTCCTGCCTTATTCATGAGCTCTAATTTTTCGTTTATGCCTATATTTACCTTACTTACTCACATAATTTGCACCCTCGTGTAATAATTTCTGCACCCTGAGTATTAAGCCAGCTTTACTTTGAAAAAAATATTTACTCACATATTTTGCTCTTTTCGAGACACCCAAGCTAGTTCGCCAGTGCCAGAGTCCTTCACTGCTTTTCTGGTCAGGAAACTTCACCCGCAGCTCCATACGGGCACAAAAGCTACTGCTAGCTACCACTAGCTACTACCACAGTCAATGCAGGGGCATCTGTGTGTGCGTTCAACTGAATGCTGTGCCAGTTTATCTTGCACCAAATCATAAAAATTCAACTGTGGTTTTGGCCTACGCATGTGAAAAGCGTACCGCATTTACATGCGTAATGAACGCAGCCGGTCCCAACCTCAGTCATCATAATCTTGATTTTTTTTTTCCCCATGTAATAAATGCTTTCCACACATTCATCCGCTGCAGTCCTGCTAACAGACACCTCGCGCTTCCTCACCCGTTGGATCTCTTTCGTTTTTTATTATTTTGCCGACCCCCCTTGGCCACCTCGGCTCGCTCTCTTCGCCTTTCACCCGTTGCCGTATGCCGTATTTATTGTTTTACAGTGAAAGCTGTTATGAGATCAAAGCTCGGGTCACGCGGTGCCGTAGTTGTCCGCCGCCCCCACTGGTGTCCGTAACCACTATCGCAGAAATAAGAAAAAAATCACAGCATTTCCACGGACTGAATGATGATGAGTGGGATGAAGTGTTTATCCGTCCATTCGTGCATACATCCGTCCGTCCAACCGTGGGTCAATCTGTACTTTTGTGCTTCTGTTCATCTAGTGAAGACTCCAAGTACCACTATCTCGCATTTTTTTATTATATATTTATTATATACAAGTGCCGCCATCTAGCGGACATTCCAAGAACTAAACTCCCCTGTGGCACATATCCGAGAGAGCTGGTTACTACAGAGGACGATCGGGTGATGCCCTAAAGGGCCACTCACCAGGCCCCATAGCGAATTTTAGTTAGACAATGGAAGTTGTTAGGTGTCTGATGAGGAACGTTTTGCCACAAAACTTTTTCGAATTGGTTCATTACAAGCGGAGAAAACAGGTTTTTTGAAGCGGCGCGAAACGAGGGTGAGAGGAAGCAAGCTCGAAACCCTTGCTGCTCCTCCGCTTAGCCTTCGCAAGCCAAATCTCTTCTCCACCCTATCCGGCATCCGACCAAGAGGTGACGTGCCATGATGTGCCCGAACAAGCCTAGCCCCCGTGCACGCGAGTGGCGTTGCTTTGTTGACCAGCGTTATTTTGTGGTCTTCTGCCTGTTTCTGCGGGATTGCTTGGAAACGCTGGCATACACGCGGTAGAGTAGATGAGCACAATGAGTGCGCGAAAGGGTAGGAGCATTCCACGGCGGTCGTCTGCTCAATGCGCTGACCGCGGGGACCCGAACGCATGCGAAACGCTGGCACATTAGCCGCGCATCTCGTAGCATTTCACGGGAAAAAAAAAATGTTAAAAAAAACGAGCACACTTTTTTATTGCATCTCATTATTTTTTCAAATTTTATTCATCTCTTGAAGTAACAAATACATAAACTACGCATGTTGTGTTCATCACTTGAACCAGCAAATACATAAACTATGCATGTTGTGTTAAATAATTTTTGCCATGTCACGTGGTATACTGTTGACAACGTCAGAGTAGAGTCCTCTATGTAGAGGACCAACGTCACCACATTGCCGTGTACGTAGGGCCATTCCTACACCCACGTCATGCCCTCATTCTTTACGCGTGCGCCGGCAGAGGGGAGGGGGAGCAGCTTGCATCTTGAAATTTGACCCATTTTCGCGGCGCGTAACGTTGCAAATTTCGGCAGACGTGATCATAAACGCCTCTTCTACGCATTGCGCTTGTCAGCTCAAAATTGTCAAACCTGGTAAGTGGCCCTTTAAGGAGCTTCTTTTTAAAAAAATCTAGTACTCAGGACACAGTGGGGCTCGAACCCTGGTCCGCTGCGTGCCAGCCCAGTATTCTACCACTGAGCCGTTCCGGTGCTCGGGACTGGTTTGCAAACTTGTCTTAGGCAGGCTTGATGTTGGGAAAGGAATAGCGCTAATATGGGTAGTGAAGCATTTTAGAACAGCAAAAGAACATACAGTTGTCACACAATAGGAATAGTGTAACGAGTGGGTCATCCAATGCTTCAACCCACTACAACAGCTTGTTTTTGATCAAGTATAGCTCATCATCGTCAGCAGCTGCATTAACAATTGGTACGAAATTCCTTGCAAGTGTTTAGCGGATACCACGCTTATCAGAAGAATGACGAACGATAGCATAGCGAATGCCGGCCTACTACCAAGAAGTTATTATTAATAATGCTGTGATGGGTACCCAACAAGTGTGCTTGCAGCAGTTACCCAATGAGTGTTTAGAAAATGCTCTGAATGGCCGCTCTTCTAGCTTTCGCTGTGATTGTGCTGTGCCTTTCGCACAGGCCTGGCATTTTTATTTTCTATCTGTGTGCGGCATGTCTCCCGTCTTATCTGTGCGCCACAATGGGTTTCACGAATGGTGCGAGTGTAGAGACATCGCAGCTGATTAGCACACGTGGAGAAAAGGTCACGAAAATGCCCACGCCAATCGGGGGTCGCTTCCTGCAAATACGAAAAACCCAACCACATGCAAGCAATTTTCGAGCGACGACCGGATTCGCTGTCGCGGAGGTTCATTCGTTGCTATTGCGCTTCAGGTTTCTAGAAAACTAGAAAAAATCGCTTGTCGTTCAGAGAAGATTGGGATGTTTTCCACAAGAAGTAGCACCCCTTATTCTTGCTTCGCTTGTTATCCGCGGGTAAAAGAACTTCTCAAGTAGAAGCGAGGCAGCGGTTGTGTGTTGTTGATCATTTTGTTATCGACGGTTAGTTTTGATGCTTCGGGCGTAGCTTACTGCAATGTTGGTTACTTGCTACAGTGTTAACGGCGTCATCACGGTCGTCGTGTGATGTTGCCGCAAAGTTGGCAAAGTGAGTCGTAGCAAACGCTTTTGGGTGCCCCTCGAGATCACTGCAGATATCACTGTTGCGGTTGAAAGATTGCCAAAAAAGACAGCCGCAAAATGCTTTTATGGCATGCACGGGCAGCCCGGGACAGTCCTCAAAAGATAGCGTCATCAACCACTGAAGATGAGTAAAGTACAACAAAGGAGCTGTTTCCAAACAGTGTACGCGTGTATCAATTGCGAAAGGCTAAGCGGCCTAACTTTTTTTTTTTTGCATTACCGCATTTTTTTGCTACCCTCGAAAAAGTTTTCATAAAGTTTACCCTGCGTAATAACTGTACCCCCGACTTTGTTCAGATTTTTCAAGAAAAAAAAGTGTTCATTACATGAATAAATACAATACTTTCACATATATTTTTAAAGATATTAAGGCTGGGAGGGATCCACTCTACCGATCGAGCAATATTAGTTGTGTCATGTATATGTTCTTCCAGTGTTCTTACCTCCAGCAGTGGAGCACAGGAATCTTCATTCAGGCACAAGACATTAAGTCTGACAAACCCACGAACTCGCAAAAAAATCTCGCATCGAAAATTGAGCCAGCTATGATTGTGCTATCAGACACCTAAGCGTCAGTAATACAGAAAGCTCTACATTCCTCTTTTTGACAGTCCATAAAAGTAAACTTCGTCCACCATGGCGGAACAGCGGTAACCGTGCTCGGCTGCTGACCTGGAGGTCGCGGGTTCAGTCTTTGCCACGTCAGTCGCATTTTGATGGAAGTGAGATGGTAGAGGCCTGTGTGCTGTGCAATGTCAGAGAAAGCACACCAGATGGTCAAAATTTTCTGAGCCCTCCACTACAGCGTCTCTCATAATCATATTGTGGTTTTGGGGCAAAAAACTCGGGAGATGATAGTATGATGATTACTGAAACAAACTTCACTCTGCTGCTGCCTACCTCACATTGGATCTTTGAATGCTTCGGGCGGGTGCACCCCTTGCGAAGCAGGTGAGGGCAGTAAAGCATAAAACTGGCGGCATGTATCAAGTTTCTTCTTCTGAAGACTTCTCAGAGACTACGATCCCTAGAATACCATACCCAAACACCCGGACCAGTGTTTGAGCCATTGGAACTGCTAGAGTATTGGCCTTCCTTTATCTCTCCACCCTTTCCACTGAGAAAATGCACGTTTGCAACATGGCAGGGGCTGTTTTCGGCATCGGAGGCATGCGATGCACCCATGGCCGCGCCAGCTGTTGTCCTCGTTCTCTGTGTTCACGCTGCAATGCAAACTTGGTTAACTTCAGGAGT